ATAATTGTATACGTATCTGTCGGAGCGAGATGATACAAAGCGATCAGAACACAAGATCGCGAAGGAACTAATTAAACCAATATATACTTAACATTGATAAACCATGGATTAAGGTAACTTTATATATTTTCAACGTACGAAATAAGGTCTACACTAAGTTAGTGCCGATCATCCACGTTAATATAACAATTTTAAAGCCGCTAACTTTGATAATTTTTTTTTTCATTTTGGAGTATTATCTTCGTTAATCTTAACCGAGGTTTATGTTAATCTCTGATTTTCTCTCAGAGGTAAGAACGTTACTTCGTCAGGTAAATGTGACATAAAGGAGCAGTGGTTTCCATCAGCGGCTCATTTCGCGGAGAAGCGTGATTTTTAATGCAAACCCAGTCTTCGGAGATGGAATTCCAACCCCGAGGGGAATTCTAATTGACTCGAAATCGGCGTGGAAAGAAGGTCGGACGGCAAGTTTTCGCTCCGGGTGATTATATTCGCAGTAACGTCACGCGCCACCGTGAAGGAGAGTACCCCAATGGGTGCGAAACGTTCGGAGAATTTCCGAGTCGCAATAAGAAGGATTCCCGGTGGTGCAGAAAGACCGGAGCCCCTGTTCTCCGGTTTCTTTGGGTTAGGGTGCCATCCCAATCGCGTCAGCATTTCCGGGCACTGGGACACGCTCGAGGAGGAGCGAATTCGGGGGTTGCGCCTCCTGGTTGGAGGGTGGCTCGTGCCACTGCCAGAGAGGCGGACATCTTGGGGGTGACGTATCTGGGGAACCAGGGAAATACTCGCCCCTATGGATTAATAAAAAAAATTAATTAATAAATAAACTGAACACGTTGGGCATGACGTTCCTCGGAAACCAAGGAAATAATCACTCACATTCTACGGAGTGATAAAAAGATAACAAAATAAGGTGGACATCAGTAAGATACGTTCTTGTATTCCCTATTCTACCATTAAGACATGAAATATATAATTTCACTGCGAGCTTATGTACTAAGAGTGTATGAATTTAATGAATTTCCTTTAACGGTGCACTTTCCCACATGAGAAATACTTTTCTCGAGTGGCTTTTCTCCAAGAAAGTCGCGACAGAGTCGAAAGAAGAGGAAATAACGAGCGATAGGAAACATGGCGGGCGCCGACATTAATAATCCCTAGCCACCCCCTCCCTCCTCCCCGGTCCTTTGTGCCTAGGGATTTTTTGTTAACCGGCGTCACGGCAGCGAAAAAAGATCTAATGGATTACGGGACGGTTTCGCGAATTCTCGGGAAATCGCAATAAGTGAAATTCCCGGGGGTCGCGGAAAGACCGCAGCCCTTGTTCTCCGGTTTCTTTAGGTTAGGGTGCCATCCCGGCCGACTCAGCGTTTCCGGACGTCGGGACGCCCCGAAGGGGGCCGGGGGTGGCGGCCCTAGGGGTGGCTCCGACACGGCAGGGACGTCTCGAAGATGATATACCGAGGCAATAATTGCGACACCCTTCCCTCCGACGCCTCTGGAATTATCCAGCTTTTCGGGCCACCTCGGTGGCCCCAAAACTCGGATACTTCGCCTCGGGGGTTGGGGACGGGGGGTGAAACGCGACTCCTTAATGAAAAGAGAGAATCTCTCGGAGCCGCGAGTCCGAAGATCGATGGTGACACATCGGTGCCATAATTTCGGCACCCTATCGGGAGAAAGACGCGCCGGACGTAATGACAAGCCGCCATTGTTGCGCGAATGGTTAAAGTGATATGAAAGGGTAATCCTATGTACATATAAAATATTAAACCGCCCTCTTCTGACTGTATTTACAAAATGAAGAAACATTGAAATTCATATTTAAACTCATTCAAGCCTGAGGATTTTCCATTCAGACAATTGGGATTAAAAATCACCCCTGGAACTAATGAAAGTGAATCCAATTTTCCGAATTTCTATCGGAACGTAGGCCTTAAGGGTTGCGGCGAAGGTCCCTTGTGGGCGATGCAACCCTTATGGATATTAGGGTCGGTCACTTTTGCCGGAAAAACGAGGAAATAAACGGCGGAGTTATTTCCCCGACAGAAAGCAGCCCTTCCCCTGTCTGGCGACCTACCCCTCGCATTCGGCAGCCTTTGTCGAGGAAACTGCGGTAATGGCTTTGTCGGGCTTTTCGGGGGAAAATGGCCTGAGTCAAACGTACGTGGGACAGATTTGGGCTCGATACTCGGATATATCGATTGATATCTGCCTGGAAATCGGCGAAACGCCCCCGAAACAAAGAGCCCCCGTAACCGCAGGTAACTACCCTCGTTCCTGCAATTTATTAATGCACCACGTACACGCCTCGACGCGATTCCGTGACGCCGACATCGCGTGCACTTGCATCCCCCGAGAGCACCCCTAAGTACAGGGGGTAGGAAAAGAAGAGCGTACGAAAAGGCCGTCTCATAAAAGTTTACACCCCCCGCAAAATCCGTCAATTTACGTGCGCCCGTGTGGTACAGGGTTGTCGAAATAAAATCGTAACAGCCCATCAGGGGCACCATCAGCTGGCAGGGTGGAGCGCGGACACGTCCCGGACACGTCGGGGGTGCTTCCGGGACCCCTGGCCCTGAAAGGTTTATTCCGCGGAATTATTTATTCCTCGATCGCCAGGACTCGGTTCGAGGAGTCCCGAGACTCTAGAGAGGGTCCTGGGGAAAAAGAAGGGTGCAAGTGGGTCCTAGAACCGTACGAGTGAATCTTTGCCCCTGGCCGGAATTCCGCGAGGGGTGGCTCGGCAGATGGGAGCCACCCTTTAAGTAGTAACTCATAACCCACATTTGACCACGACCCTCCTCCCCCTAATTTATTCCGGGTGCAGCTCGTACTTTTTCGTCCGTTTTATCGGTCATCTAGGGATTTATGTCCGGGACAGTTTAGGGCCGGCAAGCGCGAACCACCAGGATATCTCGCGATTCCGAGCGCCCTATAGCGCGGCCGCGTTATGGCGAGCTGGGGGTGCGCCACCCTCCATAACGGGTGGGCCTCGTTTATTCACGTTTATACCCCCTGGGTTGGTATACTGGGTGGTCCTCCGCGGAGCTATTCCAAAATGTCACGAGCACCCCGTGAGCTTTCCTCTCTCCCAGCTTTTGTTCCCCTCGATAGGGATTTTCCTTTCAGCGCAGGGGTAGATTCTGCTCTCGAACGGTTCCAAGGGATGCCTCCTTTCTTCGGACTGCGGGGGCACGGAAAGGACTTCCTTTACTCCGGATTATTTGTACGGACTCGTGATCGAACGCACCCTAACATTAAAAACACAATGAGAAAGTAAATAAACAGGGTTAAAGCGAGTTCTTTTGAAATCCCTATTTTCCTCGGATTTTTTCTTAAGGGGGAAACTTCACGACACGGTGGGGTAAGATCGCATGTTACGGGGCGATCGAAACGTGGAATATCTATTTATTCTTCATAGAGTTGATTGTTGCTTACATTCACCTTTGCGTCTCAGTGTTAATGCAATTTAGACGTTTTTCTAATGATATTTCATTCTTATCTGTTATCCGAGAAGTCAATTAGGGCAAAACAACCCTTAACAACCAGCTCCGAACTCCTAAGAGTATTTCATGAAGAAGTGGTTATGAATAATTAATAATTAAATTTTTCTTAGATCTTTCACGTCAAACCTGAAGAGTGGTCCTTTTTTAAACGTTTCGAGAGAATGGTACCCAGACGAAAAGATATTCCTGAAAATTTCGACGACTTTATCCGTACTTGCGTGAGATGCGTAGGTACGAAGGTACATGTCCACCTATGTATTTACGTATCTTCGTGTCTGGTCACCGAATTTCATTGATATTCCAGTCAGAGACGGGTCGCAGCCATGCCTGGTGTCGCCCTAATGAATTTAACCATCCCCGTTAAGTCCTTCATCTAAAACCACTCACTCAGCTGTTCGCGCCTCCTAGCCAATTCCCTTGACACGTTTCTACCAAATGATACACTGTTAAAAAAATCCATAAAATTCATTTACAATTCGGTCGGTCGACACCGGAGGATTTTTCAAGACTAGAAAAAAAAATTCAAATACCTAAATATATAAATTCGAATCCATAAATGGAGAAAAAAAGTTTAGCACAGTGGGGGCGATGAAAGAGAGAAAGATAGGAAAAAAAGTGCCACTTGGTGCCCAAGTGGTCCGACTAACAGTTGCTAATACCAAGGGAAGAATTCCGGGGAAAAAAAGGAGAAAAACGTTCCGATCAATCAGGGGTAATACAGGGTGCGTATTCACGAGCGTTTCCACCCTGCGCCCTCGAAAGGGGCGAGAACACCGGCGAGGCGATTCCCTTTTTGGCGGGTCTTTTTTTTGTGCGTCCGACCGACAGGTGCAGCCGTCGAAGCGTGGTCGAAAATCCAGGGGGTGGAAAGATGGAGTAGGTTAAAAAGGGGGAAAAAAAAAATGGAAGCGAGAGAGGAGTCCATTCGCGGGATTAATCGCGATTCAGGCACCCCTGCATCCCTGGACGGGCTGCTTACGTGCGCACCGACGGACCCTTTCAAAGTCGCCACCCCCGTCGCGGGCAGATTTTTAATTCCAGGGGTAAATATTTGGGAAGGTTGTTTGACCAGCGGTGCCCAATATTTGCGATCCAAGTGCGAATATATCAGGTTTCCCCGGTATTACGGCGCCGGGGGTAGTTACCGCCGGCCGCGAATATTCCAACCCCCCATATATTATGACTTCGCCATGGCGAACCCCATGGGCGCGGTAACGACGGTTTCGGGGCTTAAATCGCTCCTAGTAGACATTGTTCGCTCCTGAGAGCACTATTTAATCCCGACCATTGTCGATGTACTTAACGAAACGCGAGTTTATGGGGTGGGCCACCCCCTGGCGCGGAAATTTGTTCTTTGCATGGGATAAAAAGGAGGACCCTGCCAGATTTCATTAACTGTGGCCATGAGGGATGCGAGGTATTATATGGATTAGGGTGTCAAAGTATATTCATTTTTTCGGATCTTTCTGATGATAGCAAAAAACTCACCTCCTGGCGGAGAGGCATGTTTAGGGGTTGGCGACAAATTATTCGAGCGGTTACGAAATTCGGAATTAATTCGGCCTAAGGACGTTTAGGGGTGGTTACAAAATCACAATATTAAAAGAAATACATATCAATGGTACCGGAGGAAATGGGAGTTTCGTAGAATTTTCCCGGGAAAAATCTGGAAGTCTCGCCACGATCTGTGGAAACACCCCGACAGGTCTGGCAGCCGACAAAGGAATGCAAATTTCTATCGTTTCGCCACCCCCGGCCAAGGGGGTACCTTAGCATAGAGGACTGCTCTACCGGGTTACATGGAAAACTGTCAATCTGCATTCCGATATTTCGGGAAAAATTGTCAGGTGCAGGGACGCCGGAGTTATTTCATCCCCGTTCCTTTTTCCCTCTGGAGGAGAGAGGAGAGCAACAGGAGGAGGGATCAGGGAGCAGATACAGAAATTGCGAGCGTGGTTAAGGGGCGAGGGGTGGAGGCCACACAGGGGTGGTATGGGGGAAACGAAGGGGAAGGAAATCAGATTTGATTGCAGCCCGATGCAAGGAAATATAGATGTAGGCGGCCAATGTTACGAACGTGCCTCGAATAATAAACCCCTCGCAGAGGGTGGCTTTGGGGCTGAAAAGGAGAGAGAACGTCGACATCCTCGAGGACTCCTCAAACGCAGGAATAAAAGATCTCTAGACAAGGCTCGAGCTCGCTTTTAGATCTCGCGTCGAATCCCGCCGTAAGGGGTGCACGAGAAAGGGGAGGGAAAATTTTCCAACCGTTTAAAATGAATGAAAATTCTTAGAGTCAATATTGGTAGGGATTTCTTGGGGGATGAGGGATGTTTCCGATGATCGAAAGGCCTAGCCAGAAATTAGGTGTGTATTCGGGAAATATCTGACAGAACTTTTTGCAGCCCTTCGTGATAGGGTCGCGTCAAAGAGCGGGACGCGGAATTTCCCGAGACATATATTGAAATGTTGCGACGTATGGCACACGACAGATCGGAGAAAAGTTATTCTCGACACAGTCGGATTTTAAAGTGAGATGTCACTTCAAGACGTCGACTTATTCGGGGGTACCTCCCCTTGCTCGGCTGAAAAATCGTACGAGCCGAATTGATACCATTTCGCGAATCGCAATCGATTAATGCGCACTTCATTGTCTCATACAATGAATATCAAATTGATATCGAGACGTAGAATATTGCCTTTTAATTTAAATACAGTCTCAAGGTATACATGTCATTCGTTACATCGTTGCCTTCCATTTTCCATGCATCAGCTGTCTTTCTTCGATAAGTGCACCGTTCATGTATAAGATCCACTTTACCGTAAAAATGCGACGGGTTCATAAATTCCGCAGACATGACGCGAGTATTTTTCGCGATTTACCCCCCTCTAGGAAATTCCCGATACACGGGGCGAAGCGAAACGAACGTCATTTCCATCCCCGAGGAAATCGATCGGGCAAAAAGGGTGGCCGAGGGCTAAAAGGGCGGATTCTCGTGCAAACGATTTGGTCCACGAAGGAGGATCGGATTCGCGATTTGTCAGACGTCTATCCTCCCCCGTAAATATAGTTTTCCCGGTTAGTGAAAAACAACTGGCAGATTTCCCGTTTCCCCCCGAAAAGGGCGTGTACGGTATCGACGGGCGACGTAACGAATGGCCGCAAAAATTTCACCCCCCTTCCTGCGAAATCGATGTATCTATCTACGAATAAACGTGGGCAAGAGAACTCCGACTAGGCTGCCAGATATATGAAAAATAACAACTACCTTCAAGAAAAAAAAATAAGTACTCATAAACAAACCCTCTGAATTTCTTGCACGCGCTAAAAAAATGGAAATTAAAAAAAAGCTTACGACATTATTCCATATAATTCAATGTAATAACTTAAACATATTTTTTTTAGTGCAACATGCCACGGTAGTTTAATTTGGATTATTATTAGAAAATAGTTGCGCGTCGGAAAGTGAAGCATTAATTTTTTTTTTATATATATATAATTGCTAGTTTCATTCATCTTCACGGGTTAGTATTCAGAATATTCGGATTTTCGAATTTATTCTCAATTATCGGCATTTGGGGCGAAATGTACAGATTAGGGTGTACATAGCTATGTATCCAGGTTTAGTCGATTATTCAATGTATAATATAATATAATCAGCGGCGATGGAATTTCCTGTTTCGACTTCGAATGCATTTGAGCGGTGTTTACGCTTATCACGGGTAATCTTCATTACGAAGCGGTTCCAATCGATCGGATGTAATTGGTTAATCAATGGGAACGAAGGTGCGTCGTCCGTCACCTTCCATGGACTCGTGGAACGTGGCGGACATGTATACATGCGTACGAAGGACTCGGATTCTCGATTTATCAACTGTCTCTCGTCCATAAATACGACTTCTTCTCCCAAGAGAGGGAAAAACGGGCGATCGATTCCTCTAAGGGTACCATCTTACAGTGGTACGCGGTAAGAAAGTAATGTACATCGGCGACGTGCGCGGTGGAAACGAGTGCCGTTAAATCTAACGAATGGCTTGCGAACTCGATCTATGTACAACGATGTGCAACGCAACATTTACAGTCATTCCATTTACTTGAATTTTCACAAAATACCCATTAATACATACTGCCGCGAATTGGTTGGGGTTGTTACAAATTATTGGCGACTCTCTCTGGAATTAATATTTGTACGCACACCCTTTTGCATCTGCAAAGAAAAAAAAAGATTCGATAATTGGTTCAGAGTGCCATCAATTTGTACTGAAGAAATTGTTCGTCAAGAAATTTCTTTATGTTCAGTAGTCTATTTTAGATTTAATTCAGGACCTCGGGCGTGACCTAACTCCTTATGAGGAAATTCTTAATTAAAGGAAGGAATTAAGCGGGAGGAATTCCGTACCTTTCGGAAGGCGGGTTTGAAGAAAAGATTTATTCCCAGTTTTATCCATTCCCCCGTACGGGGGGATCGGAATCTCGATTTATCAGAGGACTTCCTCCGGTAAACTCGGTTTTTTGCCCCCGGCAAGAAATAACGCCGGGAAAAGACGTCCTCTCCGAGACGAGTAACGTATAGGAGGAACGGCGACAACGGCCGGCATCATAAAACACAACAAATGATCGCAAATTCGCCCGGGGGCAGGGGCGAAATGTATTACGGAAGCGCGGAAATCTACTCTCGATTATATTGAATCGAATCCACCGGGGATCCTCGGGGGTCCTTTCTCATCTGCCACCCCTTGTTTCCCCGTTTCTACGCGAACACTTAGCACCCTCTTTTCGAATCCGCCGATTCCTGGCAAGGAGGATTCCTAACCTCGTTTGCGCCTCCACTTCGCCGCAGAATTCCTGAAAAAATGGTTGTGCTTTTTTATGCAGCCCTTGAATTACTTTGAGATCCTTTCTCATCTGCTACCCCTTGTTTCCTCGTTTCTACGCGAACACTTAGCACCCTCTTTTCGAATCCGCCGATTCCTGGCAAGGAGGATTCCTAGCAGAATTCCTGAAAAAATGGTTGTGCTTTTTTATGCAGCCCTTGAATTATTTTGAGATTCTTTCTCATCTGCTACCCCTTGTTTCCCCGTTTCTACGCGGGACCCTTAGCACCCTCTTTTCGAATCCGCCGATTCCTGGCAAGGAGGATTTCTAACCTCGTTTGCGCCTCCACTTCGCCGCAGAATTCCTGAAAAATGGTGGCGTACTTTTATGCAGCCCTTGAATTACTTCGAGTAAACTGCGGGAGTGTTTAGAAAGCAGACGAGGGGAGTGAACTTAGTCTCGAGGTTATGTAAAGTTATTTGCTTCCTTTATCTTGATTTTATTTCGTCGAACGGCCCGCGATGGCCGAAGAAGTCGAGGTCGCTGTATGGAGCGTTTCGAATGATTTCTTTTGGGACGGTTCACCGAAGACCGCGGTGCGTTTTGTTACTTGAATAGGTGGTTCGAGAAGGAGATGGCCACGCGATAAATTTTCTGGAACATGCAGCAGCGAGCGATGCGGGAATTAATTTTTCCTTTTAACGGGCTCGCGTCATCGGCCCGGAATGAAAAGGAACGCGCAGGACCTGCGTGCATGCGTCATTGCAGCGAGATGGATTAAGTCCCGGCGTGTCATCGTGAGATCTTCAAAATGAATAGCCAAAAGGAAATCGTGGGCTTAAACGACGTTTACTACTTAAGCTGTCTTTAGTGCGACATATCGGGCTTTACGATCACTCGTTGCGATTCGCTCTTTGAAATTTAAAAGGCCCGATGCATTAACGTCGGATCGGCTCGCGAGGAACAGCGAGTGGTCATCGAGAATCCAGAAAACCAGGAAATCGGGCCGAAAATAGAATCGAGGGCATTCATAATTAATTATATTCCGCCATTATGAACGTCGCACGGTATCAATTACTGTATCAATCACCGTTTAAAGGAGTCCCCTTTGGGGAATTTTCTCTCGCTTAAAAGTCCCGGCACGGGTTAGGTAAGGACGAAGTCCTGGCTCGTTCGAGGGTCGTAACGACGCGTAATATAATAAGAAGCGAGGGAGATGAAGCGAGGGAAAGGAACCTGGAGGAAGCGAGAGAGGAGGTAGACCACCCAAATTGCGGCGAGGAACCCGGATAGCCTTTCGAAAAAATCAATTTCGGGTGAAAACTATAAAAGAGTCCCCAGAGAGCCAATCCCGGAGGCGTAAAACTCGCGACTAGCTCCAAGATGGCGTCTCCTCTCTCTTCCTCTCGTCTCTCTTCCCTTGGTCGGTCGCGTCCGTCGAGAACGAGAGAAGGATTTCCTAGAAGTACCTCGATCCCTTCCGTCGCTCGGCGGCACTTTGTCGGCAGGTTTATTATTCATAACCGAGGACCGATTCCCCGACTATTTCGGTAGTTTGTTTTCGGCCGCGTTACAACGCTAACGAGATATTTCGGATGCCACCCGTTAAACGGGCCGTCGAGGAAGCAGGAATATCGCCGGATATTCGCCTCGCTACCGAAATAGCAACGCGGTATGAAGAACAGTTACT